AATGGCTGAACAGGCTAAGGCAATGGGACAAAGAGGGCAGGATTTCATGGAAAGCTTAAGCATGGATCGGGTCTATGATTACATGTTTCACCTCATAACGGAGTACTCAAAGCTGCTGGACTTCAAGCTAGACATTCCAGCTTCTGCCAGAATCCCTGCTTTGTCTTGCTGACCCGATACAGAGGGAATGTCTTAAAAAGTCTACCGTGTACCCTTCTCCTAGCCCCCCCTGCACTCTCCAGTCGGCTGATAGTAGTCTCATCAAGAGAGATGGAAGCGGCGAAAACAAGAAACGATGGACGCTGTGGAGGACATGAATCCGAAGGAACGGAGACGATTAAACTAGGATGTATGCTGTCGTAGTGTAATAATCATAATTCTTTTAGTTTTGTAGTTGATGGTGTAGTCTTAGATGGCTCCTGAAGTAAGGTTTTCTTGCCCCTGTAGAGAAATCTAGCATTGCTCATTGACACACAGCACTTGGGAGAGAACAATAAAAATTAAATTTTTATTGGGGTTTTAATTTTTTCACATTGCAAGTTTTGACTTTAAAATAGACGGTAAGGGTTTTAATTTTCTCACATTACATCCTGAGATTTTGAAATTATATTAATTTACACCTTTTGAATATTTGAACATCTAAATATACAACTTTTTAAATCAATGCGTGCAAATGAAGCTTACATGTCATTGTCATTAATGTAATAAAAAATTCAAATAATTCATTAGACAAAAAGTGTAAATTGACATTGTTGATGCACAAAATCGGAGGTCTTGGAACAACGTAAATCCAACCGTGAATCTGCAAGAAAGTAAATGATACAAGATGTATCGTGGTTCACCCTAAGGTTTGGGCTACGTCCACACTAATTATTGTATTTCTAAAAGGATTGTGAGGGAGAGAGAGAGAGCCTTTGTAATGAGAGTGAGGCCCTGATAAGGTGAGGGTCCGGCCTAAGAATTGGCCTCTGAGGGTGAGAGTGAGACTCCCCCTGTGAGGGTGAAGGGTCCTTTTATAGAATAAGGGCTCCTCACTTATTACATATTTGCCCATTCCTTTATTACATAATTACATTTAAGTCCCCTGAGTATTTATACGAGATCTAAATACGGAGGCCCTAAGTATGGTATAAACAGTAGTCCCACAAGTCTTTAATCAAGAGAGTCTTTTGGCTGGAGACTTGAAATTCAGTCCATGTGTGGGCCGAAGTAACTAGATATCGTCTTGAACTGATACTTGATATGGGCGGTGCTCAAAGAGAAATGATGCTCAAGTAGCACATGTTGCAAGGCTGCTCTGTTTGTGGCTTATGTTGCCTTGGTTGGTTCGGCTTGTGGCATTGAAGGTGGGGTAGTCCCTTTTATATAGAATAAGGGTTCGCTCCTCAATACATAAGTGATGGGTTAAGAGTGATGCTCGCAGCGATGCTCTCTAATGAAAGTGAGAAAGTCCCTTTTATGAAATAAGGGATCGCTCCTCAGTACATGAATAATGGGTTAGGAGTGATGCTCGCGGCGAAGCGGTTGCTCAGTTGGCAGCGATGCTTTCTAATGAAGGTGAGGGAGTCCCTTTTATAAAATAAGGGATCGCTCCTCAGTACATGAATAATGGGTGCTCTCTAATGAAAGTGAGGGAGTCCCTTTTATAGAATAAGAGCTAGCTCCTCAGTACATAAATAATGGGCTAAGTCCCCCAAGTATTTTTCATGAGGCCCAGTTGAGGCCCAATATATGGTACATAGTGTAGTCCCCCAAGTCTTCAGTCAATAGAGTCTGTTGGCTGGAGACTTCAAATTGAATCCATGTATGGGCCGAAGTGGCGGTTGTTCGGAGGCGGTATTTATATACCCTGCACTGAAGCTTTGTAGGTGAAGCTTTGCAAGTGAAGCTTTGAAGCTGGAGCTTTTGTAAATGAAGTTTTTGAAGCTAGAGCTTTTGTAAATGAAGCTTTTGTAGCTAGAGCTCTGTAAATGAAGCTTTTGAAGCTGATTGACATAAGTGATGCTCATGAATGTTTATATATTAATTGACATGAGTGATGCTCATGGATGTTGACATGAGTGATGCTCATGAATGTTTATGTATGATTGATATGAGTAATGCTCATGAATGTTTATGTATGATTGATATGAGTAATGCTCATGTATAATTTGAAGTACTGGGCGTACTTTTGATCACCTGGTTGGTGGTAATAACGGCAGGCTGCCGAATATTTTTTTGTAGTATTGGACATACTTTTGATCACCTGGCTGGTGATAATAGAGGGCCTGACTCTCTTGGGCATATGGGCCTTCGCCCTCCACATAACATTCTAGCCCATTATTTTGGGCCTTTAGTTTTTTTTTTTTTTTTTTTTTTACTACCCTCTGATGGGGTTATATCATTCGAAAATAAGAAAACTAAATTACATCATTCGAAAATAAATCCGACCTTCATGCTCAATGGGTTACGCCTATAATTCCCTTATCTGCATGCCATCACCACCGTAATTATGTCTGCTTCTTTTTATCTTCTTTTGCTTTCTGCTTTTGCTTTTTCTTTAACATCATGGTGTCGTCTGTGAAGAGTAGGAGGAACATGTATGATGAAAGTTGGTGGGCATCTTCTGCGCTGTCATCTTGCCAAGTTGATTCCTTTAATTAACTTGGAGTTTGGGCTACTGTGCATTTGTGGGTAGCCATGCTTTCTGCTTTTTCTCTTTTTGCTTTCTGCAATTATCTCCGACCCAAAAGTTGATGCACATAACAGAATCCTAACTCAGCACCAAGTAGGTAAGCTTGAACAACAGAGTGGCCAAGAGGGTCAATCTGCCAACCGATTCGAGGAACCTGACCAAATTCTTTCAAAATAAATTGATGGCCTAAAATTGTCTGATCAATCAAGTCCATGTAATGCGGGGTGGCCTCGTTGTGCATCCACATTCCTCCATTTATGAACTCGAGCTGACCAACTCATTGACTTTAGCCTTCAAGGTCGGGCTTTACTGTCTCCACCATCTCTGAAAGAATGCAATCTCGACATAGATGAACTTCTGATTCTTCTTCTTCAGCAAGGCCGAAATTACAGCGTCGAGGACGTTCTGGACGCAAGCGCCGCGAATTGAGTTGTTAGCGCCTACGAAGTACTGGTCAACGATCTTAAGCCACCCGACGTCGTCGTGAAAGTGAAGAACTAAATGAAAATTGATTCTTCTGGGGCAATTCTCGTCGTCGTGTTAAAGCTATGTACTCTGATTTTGCTCCCGGTAACCCAGCCAATAAGACCGCCGTCGCCGCTGTGAACAATCAACAACGTCGCAGCGGTATAAGCCATATACTGAAATTATTTACTCAAAGATTGTTTGAAAAAGCATATTAATAAGCGATCGGTCTCTCACTGGACTTGCTTCACCGGAAAGCGAGAACTTCTTTTCTTGTCTCCTGGTCGGGGACGCCATGGTTGCGGGGTTTAAGTGACTCCTCGCTCTAACCAGCTGCCTTCTTTCACGCCTCACCACCGTCGTCTTCGATCTGGAGGCTTCTGTGAGTGTGTCAGCATATGTAGAGGCCCTGAATACGAGGCAGGCTGAAAATTTTGAGAGTTAAGATTATAGGTATACCTCCAAGAAGAGCAGCCAGAAGCAGCAGAGGCAAAAGACTGAAGGAGTAGAGAAGGGTCTCATTCGCATTGGCATTCCCCACTTGTTGTTTTTGGTCAGCCGCGTCATCATCTTCAACAATGTCTAAACTAAATTTGTCGTTGTTGATCACAAACGAAGATAGGAGAGTTTTTCTACTTCTGCTACTTGCTGACGCGGAAGTTACTTCTGCTCCTTGCTGACGTGGGATGGTAGTGAACGTTGTGGTGTGGGAATAGTGAACGCTGTGGTGTGGAGGAATGGCGGGTAAAATGGTAATTACATTATCGAAGACAGTGAAGAAGCTCAGTAGAAGGACCGAGAGCTGCACAAACATTGCAGGAGAACCCATGTTTTGTTTCTTCCTCTCTGTAGATTGAATGGGTGTGTCTCTGAGTGTGGGTGTTGGGTTGTTGGTTCTTGGGTTTCTGCAGATTCACAGCGGAGGTGAAAAATTGAGAGATAACCGACATAGCTTTTCGTGTCGATTCCCACAGACGGCGCCAAATGTTGATGCACAAAACCGGAGGTCTTGGAACAACGTAAATCCAACCGTGAATCTGCAAGAAAGTAAATGACACAAGATGTATCGTGGTTCACCCCAAAGTTTGGGCTACGTCCAAGTATTTCTGAGAGGATTGTGAGGGATAGAGAGAGCCTCTGTAATGAGAGTGAGGCTCTGAGAGGGTGAGAGTCCGGCCTAAGAATTGGCCTCTGAGGGTGAGAGTGAGGCTCCTCCTAATTGTGACGGTGAGGAATCCTTTTATAGAATAATAGCTCATCACTTATTACATATTTGCCTTTTCCTTTATTACATAATTACATTTAAGTCCCCCGAGTATTTATACGAGATCTAAATACGAAGGCCTACGTATGGTATAAACAGACACTATTTTGAAACTCTAGGGGAACAAGGAAAGAAAATTGAGAATTCATGACCTGTTTGAAAATCGCTCCAAACATAGAAAGTGTGAAATATTTATCTTTTCAATAGTATATTTAAAATACACATAGGATACGTGAATCAGCTATCACTAAAATTGGTATGAAACTTTCGTGTATTAAACGCAAAAAACAAAAAATGCGTTATTTAATTACGAGTACTGGTAGGGAGACCAATTTTTTAAAACCAAATTTACAAACAAAATGATAATGTTGTAGATGATTGAATTATTAAGTGTCGATTAACGTATTTGTTTCTTATTCGTAAAACAAACAATTTAATTTACAAAATTTCGTCACCAACCGTACACTAAAAACTCTTTTTTTTAGGAAAAACTAGTGGCGCATTTTTGAGTTCTTACCACGCTTCGAACTCTCCAGACCTTCTAGTTCAAAAAAGTTGACCAACAGTACATGAAGTATAGAATGGCAGGCAATGGAAAAAGGAAAAGTATCATAACTATAACCAAATAGAATAACAATCCTTATAAGGTTCACGCTGATATTCAATCATACTATACATATGAAACACGGAAATCAAAGCATATTTGTAAAAATGCATGCGTACGTGCGAAAGACGGAAATCGATCAAATCAAGCGTAGCAGCTCTTGAGCTGACTCCCTTGAATGGAATAAGTTGTCGATGTAGTGTATCAGAGGAGCCAATGCTGTAACTGTCCTTTGCATCAGAACAAAAGCCGATGCCTCTGATAAAATAGAATACCAAACAAATTGTGTAACCAAAATACCCATGTACATATAGCATTCATAGAAAATTCATGTTAATTATACATGCTCAATATCTGCACGTAAGATTTTTTTTCTTTTTCTTCTTCCCTATATTGGATATGAAAAAAAGAACCTGCAACCGGCCACGGTAGCTACCGCTACCATGAGCAGTCAAACCGATCAATCCCAAATCTCTAGCTTAATGTCACTAGATATGAGCTAGTCTGCTAGAAGCCTGGTTTGGAAGCAGATAATATGACAATGATGAGTTACATACTAGGAAGAGTCTTACCATCTAATTTTAGCCTCGTCAAGAACAGTGACTTTGTAGGAAGGGTGTACAGTGCACCCGCAACAGCCTTTCTGGTAGCCCACCCGTGGTAGGGGTAAAAAACTTGTTTATATGCTGTGTTAACCGGATCCATGATTGAATTTCCGCTGCCAAAGTAAGAAAATTAAAAACATTCAAGTTATAAGTAACTGTGAATCTGTGATAGCAGAATAACAGCTAGCTGCAAAATGATAGAGACATAAAAAAATTAGAGATAGCAGTCATTGATTTAGGGTTTGTTCTTTTGTGAATAATTAATTCAAAGATTAGTCAATAAATAATTATGTGCCTTAAGTAGAATAATTAAGTCATGGTATAACAGATATCACGAGGAGTTTATGGGCTCGTTTGGAAGTGCTTTTAAAATAACTGAAAATGCGTTTGATGAGAGTACTTTTCAAACCAATTTCAAACCAATCATTGGTAAAAATGTAAGTGAATTCTGAAAAAACACTTGAAGTGCTTCCTGCAAAAATCACATAATTGATACTTCTTGTAAGAAGCACTTTAAGTGCTCTTGAAACCCAAAAACACTTTTCTTAGAAGTGCTTTCAATTATTTTAAAAGCACTTGATGAATATTAAATATTAAAAAAAATTCACGATGAACGGAAATATAAATTAGTGGATAAGAGAAAATAGAACATATGAGTGGATGTAGCAGCACGCTTAATATGATATTGCATTTGCAAACGAAAATGATTTTAGACATGTTAATGAAACAGTGAATTCAGAGAAGATCGAGGCTAGGTTTGAGATAAGTAAAACCTTGAGGCCATGGTTTGCTCGAATATTATCTTAAACATCTCAAGTGAACGCTTCACTCTGATGAGGGATCTCGAAGCACTACTTTGGTCCTTCATGGTATTCTGTTGTATTTCACGGTCAAGCAAATCTTCTAGGGTATTAACTGACTTTCCTGCCTTTTCAATCCCATTAACCTGGCAACCACCACATTAATTAAAATTTAATTAAAAACAAAGAAACACTCACAGCAAAGGGAAGTATATTTGAACAAAATCAGAAGGAAAATATAAATAATTAAGATCATCTTTGAAATATGTAAAATGTCTTAATTGTGTATTTAAAAATGAGTAACTGAAATCAAAGCACTCATCAATCACAATCCACCAAACCCTAAAGAACACCCAAATTTTATATCAAACTTTTGAAATTTGATTCAAATGTAGAAGACAATGACAAGTTTGCAACCCAAATCTCCCCTTCACCAAAAAGCATCAAACTCTCAAGTTTAAGAGATGAATAATACCTCAGCAGAGTACTCTATGTCGGCGAACTTCAAAGCGACGCCGAAGTGTCGAACGAGAGGAGAAACGAGACGACAGGCTTGGGTGAACTTGCCAATTTCCATGGTTATCGGTGCCGGAGAGTTCAGCTGAGCGGCCAGTTGTTCGAACTCATCTGCCAGCCTTGTCAGAATTCTCTCATCTTTCCTTTTCACTACCCTTGCCATTCTATAGCTTTCTTTTCACCAAGTCTCCGCTCCTCTCTCAGACACTTTAATTTTATAGGAAAATTTGGAAAACCAAACAAAATTTGGACCCCAAATAGCTTGCCGAAAAGAGACGTACCCTCTTCACCCGGGTTTTGTTTTCGGCCTGCCGAGCTCTCTTCACAGCAGAGTCGGGCTTCTTCGTGGCGACCTCACTAACAACGGAACGTCGAAACGGCCTCTGGAGTGGGCTCACAGCCACATACCTTGAAAATAGTCAAGAACCTGCACCAACAATTAAAAACAGACGAACACGACATGATTGAAGAACACAGATCGGAATTAGAAACGAGCTAATTTTGGGAAAACCGTATAGAAGTTACCTGATGCACTGAGGAATCGTTTTTGACCAGCTTCGACACGGCCTTCGCCGGAATCGTAGCAAAAAAATTAGGTAAGCGGAGGAACGTAACAGGAATGTACGGACTGATTTGATGGAGGGAAGGCAAAAGGGATGGAAACGGAAGGAAAAGCAGTCGAAGCAATCCACGATGATTGACGCGTGGGCGCTCTTCCACTGTGCAAAGCGGTGACAATTTCGTAAATAAATTAAAATTTCCAATCTGAACGGCGGTGAAGAGGCGGTGGCAATTTTGTAAATAACTCAAAATCCACCCAAGTCTAAAAAGTAATTGGAGTTTCTAAAAATAGATACTGGAAATCGGAGTAACAGAGCGGGAAGTTAAAAATAAAATAAAATAAAAATACCATCGTTCTCCACCACCTTCCTCCTCCTTTCTTGCGAAATCTCACAATCCACAAATCCCCCAGAAAATGGCTGACAGAAGCGGCGTCGTCACCGTCTACGGCAAAGGCGCCATATACGAAACCACCAGCAAGTCTTCCCCGTTCTCCGTCAAAGTCGGCCTCGCCCAAATGCTCCGCGGTGGCGTCATCATGGACGTCGTCAACCCCGCCCAGGCCCGTATCGCCGAGGAATCCGGTGCCTGCGCCGTCATGGCCCTCGAGCGCGTCCCCTCCGATATCCGATCACAGGGTGGTGTTGCTCGAATGTCCGATCCCCAGCTCATCAAGGAGATCAAGCGCTCCGTCACCATCCCCGTCATGGCCAAAGCCCGCATCGGCCATTTTGTCGAGGCCCAAATCCTCGAAGCCATCGGCGTCGACTACGTCGACGAGAGCGAAGTCCTCACCCTCGCCGACGACGAGCACCACATCAACAAGCACAATTTTCGAGTCCCGTTCGTCTGCGGATGCCGGGATCTCGGCGAGGCGCTCCGCCGGATCCGCGAGGGCGCCGCGATGATCCGGACGAAGGGGGAAGCCGGCACCGGGAACATCGTCGAAGCCGTTCGGCACGTCCGGCACGTGATGGGGGACATCAGGGTCTTGAGGAACATGGACGACGACGAGGTGTTTGCGTACGCGAAGAGAATCTCGGCCCCGTACGATCTCATGATGCAGACGAAGCAGGTCGGGAGGCTGCCGGTGGTGCATTTTGCCGCCGGCGGCGTGGCGACTCCCGCAGACGCGGCGCTGATGATGCAGTTGGGGTGCGACGGGGTTTTCGTCGGGTCGGGTGTGTTCAAGAGCAGCGACCCGGCCCGGAGAGCCCGGGCGATTGTGCAGGCTTCGACCCATTACAGTGACCCGGATGTGCTGGCGGACATCAGCTGCGGATTGGGCGAGGCAATGGCCGGGATTAATCTGAACGACGAGAAGGTCGAGAGGTTCGCATTTCGGTCTGACTGAAACGGTGAGTTTTGAGTTTGGAGCTTTTTGGTGATCCCCAAAGGGCTAAAAGCTTAAAGTTTTCAACTTTTAGAACCATATGAACATTGCCCGTATACACCATTTGTGGTAAATTTAAATTTCATGGCTCAGCCGGATTTATTTCTGGAATTTTTATTTCTTCTTTCTTTTGTTATTTCCGAAATAATGTTTCACATGTATATAACAAAAGTATAACACTATATCGTGTTCATATGTCGTGTTTGTATCTCAAAATTATCTTAAATTTATCAGTAACTATTCTCGCGTCATGTCATTCTCCACTGTTGTGTTACATCATACATTGCTTGCGCCTCATTGGTGATGGCATTGTTTTAAGGAACTTTAACGAAAAACTCCCGGTACTATTTATTTTAACGAAAAATCATATCTTTACACTAAAAGGTAAATACAGGTACTATTAACTTTACCTTTTATTTTGTCTTTATCTTTAAAACTCAAAATTTTCTAATTCTTTTCATGCCTTCTACACATAAGCATATTTTCAGACATTAGCTTTGCCTTTCTCTAGTTCTACCTCCTACATTGTTCTTCCTGCTTTTTCTTCAAAATCTCATGTTCTTATGTGTATTGAATCATCAATCTGTAAACGTCGTGATGGGATCTTACGTGCTTGACTTCATCAAGAAAGAATGTCCTTAATCCATGTGATCGTGGAATTCATGTGTAAAACTATGTGTGTCGTATGCGAATGCAGTTTCTGGTTTGAAAGTTTAATCATGGAGCTTCGGTTTCGAGTCTTAGAAGGTACGGTGAATTGGATAGATTGCATGGTGCGTGACCTGTTCATACGTGTGTTGGCCAAAGAAAATGGCACCGTGGGAGGCCGGTCCGCCCTGCCCCTTCACCACGTGCACCTTTGATTTAAGGACGCTGGCAGTGCAGAATGCACTAATTAATCCGCGATCAGCAAGTTTTCCAAAACAAATTTAAATAATCGATTTTTTCTGAGCATTTAATTTCTTGTTATAGGTCATGATTTTTGTTCAAACTTTTTATTTGCCTGTATTTCAGCTCGAACTGGTAGATTAAACCATATTGTGTCTCTTTGGCCGCCGGAGGTTCTTGTCATTGTTTAGTCGTCAAGTTTGGGAGAGCTAATAATGTTTAAGTTTTAAGTCTCTCTTTCACCAGATTTTGTCGTCGCTATTATGCCTTGGTTTTTTCAGTTTTGTTTTTTGTTTTTGTTTTTTTTTTATCCTTCAACAAGTGATTTCTGCACCCTTTTTCCCTCCTACACTTATCCTTTTTTTTTTTCTTTCATTTACGATAAAACGGCATGGGTACACCACCATTGTAGCGTTGTACACTAACGATACAATGATAAGTGTAAGTTTTCTCTAGTTAGCGTTGTACATTAGTAAGAGACTATCGCGATAGCTATAAGAAAGGGTAATGCTAGGGAGACTAAATTTGTAAACTAAATTTTGGAAACTAAAGGAGATGGAAGTTGATGATTGGTTTATTGCTTAAGCGTTGATAAACGTACATTCCTATTGGTGATACATCATTTAGTTTGCAAATTTAGTTTACAAATTTAGTCTCCCTAACATTACTCGTGTAAGAAAATAACATGAACTATCTTCAGAACAAATTAAAAACCGGAATACCTTTTCTAAGTCCTTCACAAGATATTTTTAGAAAAAATTCCAACATTTTACTATGTTTGATCAACATTCTGTAAAATTACCATATTTCAATATTTTGTTATTTTCTTAATCCAGATTTCCTCTGCGGTACCTAACCGAATAAATCGTCCCATCAACCATGACGATCTATATAATCAATCAACGATCCCTTGACCCATAATTTCTCATTGACCCATAATTTCTCATTGAGCCACGAATTTCAGTGGTTGCTAAATATCAATTGCAGCATTTAACACTCAAAAATTACAAGTTAACAAACTTAAAACAATAAGTTCCACGTGGTCGTGAAATCGAAAATAAAATTAAATTGACTCAGGATTTAAGTAATTCACCCCTTAAAACTGAACTACATTTACTGTGTTGCTGGAATTATATTGATTTTAAATATTGGGTATTTGAGAGAGTGATCATAGAATCGTTCTTCTCTCTATACCATGCTAAAATATTTGAGAATTTTCGTATATTATTCTACTCCGTTAAGAAGGCAAATACGTACATATATGATTTACAAGAGATTATACATGATAATTATACAATCATAGGAAACCCTAATATAAAGTCAACTAGGTAACCCGACGCGGCTGGGCTGCTAATGCTCACGTTAACAACAAGAACTATTGATATATTCAAACTTCCAATTACATGCCCTCTCTCTCACTCACTCTCTCTCTCTCTCTCTCTCTAGAAACATATATTCAGTGCCCTTTTGTTTCCCTTCATCTTTTTCACATTTATGATTTAAGCTGCAGATCGATATGGATAAATTCACTCTTTTTGTCCCCGGGCCATAGAACCAAATGCTGTTTGAAACTTTTTCTTTCCGAAATTAACCATATAAAATTTACGTGCCTTGCGTATCACTCCTCAAAATCTAAGGAACATCGTAGTTGTCCGAATATGAAATTTATCGGGATATAAAGATCATTTTAGCCAATTTGCACTGACAGAAGAGAATCTACAAGTGAGAAAGGCAGGTATTAAAGCAGCATTCTCTTTGTTTGATTGAGATAGGAATTGTCATATATATAACAGCTTGTACCTGACTTTTACAGAAAGAGTAGGGAATGTGGAGGGCTGGGAATTAAAGTTTTCAAGAGCACAGATTCTGACATTGCTGCAAAGCCAGTCCTAAGAATCTCTAGCCAAATATGTTCTTTTCGGGAGATGCTAAACATTTGTTAGCCGTTAATGTATGCGAGTTCCAGTGTAGGTCACTCATACATAAAAGCCGGGATGAATACGTAGATGACTGTCGAAACCAAAACTTAATTCATTTCTTCCTTTCTCTGTTCTAATAAAATAAACTGGAGAAAGTAGTTTAAAAAATGTCTAATAAGCAGTCTTTCAATGTCTGCTTTTGCTTCCAGAGAAAATTTAGGCTCTGGATGGCAGAACCTCCTGAAGACATTAAGAACCTTTTTGATCTATACGCGGAAAATGGCACCATGACCATTGATGGCCTGCAGAAATTTCTGATTGAGTTTCAAGGAGAATCCAGTGCTACCAAGGAGGATGCTCATGCCATTTTCAACAATCTCAAGCATCTCAACATCTTTCAACGAAAGGATCTCGACCTTGATGCCTTCTTTCGATATCTCCTCGGTGACCTTAATCCTCCTCTCTCTTCAAAGGTAATTTCATCAAACTTTTTATTCTCTGGTTCGTCTCACATGGACGGAGTGCTGAAGATGATTTCATTTTAAAAAAGTACTACCGCATCTAAACTTTCTAAAAAAATATTCGCAGCTCTATAGCATATTAACGTGACAAAATGACGATTAGTGTATTGAAATTTGATGATAAATGTGTTGGGATTTAGGTGCACCATGACATGAATTCTCCATTGGCTCATTATTTCCTATTTACCGGCCACAACTCTTACTTAAAGGGAAATCAACTCAGCAGTAACAGCAGTGTCCGTCCGATAATTAACGCGCTGCAACAAGGTGTTAGAGTTATCGAATTAGACTTGTGGCCGAGTTCTAAGAAAAATGACGTGAAGGTTCGTCACGGAAGGTATGAATTTAATCTTTGGTTGCTCTCGTACAAATTATTTATCCTAACTGATTGACAATATTTTCATTATAGAATTTAATCTCTTCCAACCTTTAGGACGCTTACAAGTTCGGTGGACCTCGTCAAATGTTTGCGCGCGATCAAGGACAACGCTTTTGTTGCTTCTGAGTACCCTGTTGTCATAACATTTGAGACCACTTACCTTCAAATCTTCAAGCTATAGTGGCAACGGTGAATATAATTTCCTACCTTAGGCTTTCCTATTTTATAGTTTTCAACGCATTAATTTTTGTGGTTTCAAATTTTCAAAAAAATGTGATTGCAGATGCTCACTGAGACATTTGGTGACATGCTGTACTCTCCCCATTCAGAATCCTTAACGGAATTCCCTTCACCGGCATCATTGAAGAGGAAAATTTTGATTTCTACCAAGCCACCGAAGTATCCTGAATCGCAGAAACCTAGAGATCAATCTGGATCCACTGATCATAAGGTGCATTAGAAATAATCTACATTGTATTAGTAAGCCTAACATATATATGCTTAACTCATCACAAATCATGTTACCCTTTTTAATGTATCATTACACACTTGATGGCAGGAAAGCGAACAAGATGATGAAGAAGATGAAGATAAAGACGAGGAGAATGCTATTCCGGAATATAAACAGTTGATTGCGATTCACGCAGGGAAGCCGAAACGTGGGTTAGATAAATGGCATATCGATCCAAATAAAGTCAGACGTCTTAGCTTGAGCGAGCAACAACTCGAAAATGAAACAAGAACTCGTGGATCCGACATTGTCAGGTGATGTTATGCATAAGAAGGTTATGGGGTAATTCTTTTTTCACCATCTAAATGATAGAATATGCTTTAATCTTTGTCTAGGTTTACTCAGAGGAATTTGTTGAGGGTTTATCCAAAGGGTACACGTTTGAACTCATCAAATTATAAGCCTATGCTTGCATGGACTCATGGAGCTCAAATGGTGGCATTCAATATGCAAGTTAGATTTCTTTTGAAAATTGTAGATTGCTTTTTAGATAATCGGCTTCTACTTCTTTGACAATATATGAACATGTAGTTAAGAACTTACTTACTAGGAAAGGAAAATTTTAGCACGGCCCTTTGAACTTGGTACATTCTTTTGATTTGCCCATTCGATTTTCCATTTGGCTTTGAGCCCCCCTAATCATTTAGAACGTGACAATTTGGTCTCTACCACAAGATCTGTCAAATTTTCGGTTAAATTGAGAGTTACTTTTGTCTATTCAAGAGAAGAAAAACTCATATAAAAGTGATAAGTTTGATCATTGTAATGTACATTGACACGTTTTAAAAGATTAAGAAGCTCATAAGCAAATAGAAAGTCGAGTGAGTTAATGAGGAATTGCTAAAATTTTCTTCTTCTATTCTCACCCAATTCCCTGCTTATATCACAACTGTGTATTTCTCAAAGGGACATGGAAAGCACCTTTGGATTATGGAAGGAATGTTCAGAGCAAATGGAGGTTGCGGCTATGTGAAG